ATGCTGTTGTTCTACTAATCTCACTGCAACTCCCCTCCAAGTCTCCGACCACTACTTTGTATCCTTTTCTCTCTCCCTCTCCTCCAACTACTCACTCTGCCCCTACACAGATGGTAATGCGCCGTCGCAACCTTCGCTCTCTCTCTCCCGCTACTCTCTCCTCTTCCATCCTATCATCTCTTCCCTCTGCTCAATCCTTCTCCCTCCAATCTCCTGATTCTGCCTCCTCAACCCTCCTCTCCTCCCTTTCTGCATCCGTTGACTCTCTATGTCCCCTATCCTCCCGGCCGGCTCGGTCCTCCCCTCCAGCTCCGTGGCTTGATGACTCATTGCGAGCTCACAGAACAGAGCTCCGGGCAGCTGAGCGGAAATGGAAGAAAACTAGACTCCCTGCGGACCTGGCATCTTTTCACTCCCTCCTCTCTACATTTTCTTCATCTGTTTCTGCTGCTAAGGCCACTTTCTACCACTCTAAATTCCAAGCATCTGCCTCTAACCCTAGGAAGCTCTTTGCCACATTCTCCTCCCTGCTGAATCCCCCCCCCCCCCCCTCTCTGTGGATGACTTCGTCAACCATTTTGAAAAGAAGGTTGACGACATCCGATCCTCATTTGTTAAGTCAAATGACACTGCTGGTCCTGCTCACACTGCCCTACCCTATGCTTTGACTTCTTTCTCCCCTCTCTCTCCAGATAAAATATTGCGACTTGTGACGGCAGGCCGCCCAACAACCTGCCCGCTTGACCCTATCCCCTCCTCTCTTCTCCAGACCATCTCCGGTGACCTTCTCCCTTACCTCACCTCGCTGATCAACTCATCCTTGACCGCTGGCTATGTCCCTTCCGTCTTCTCAAAAAACCAACACTTGATCCCTCTGATGTCAACAACTACAGACCAGTATCCCTTCTTTCTTTTCTCTCCAAAACTATTGAGCGTGCCGTCTTTAGCCAACTCTCTTGCTATCTCTCTCAGAATGACCTTCTTGATCCAAACCAGTCAGGTTTCAAGACTGGTCATTCAACTGAGACTGCTCTTCTCTGTGTCACGGAGGCTCTCCGCACTGCTAAAGCTAACTATCTCTCCTCTGCTCTTGTCCTTCTAGACCTGTCTGCTGCCTTTGATACTGTGAACCATCAGATCCTCCTCTCCACCCTCTCCGAGCTGGGCATCTCCGGCGCGGCTCACTCTTGGATTGCGTCCTACCTGACCGCTCGCTCCTCCCAAGTGGCGTGGTGAGAAGCTGTCTCCGCACCACGTGCTCTCACCACTGGTGTCCCCCAGGGCTCAGTTCTAGGCCCTCTCCTATTCTCGCTATACACCAAGTCACTTGGCTCTGTCATATCCTCACATGGCCTCTCCTATCATTGCTACGCTGACGACACACAACTAATCTTCTCCTTTCCCACTTCTGATAACCAGGTGGCGAATCGCATCTCTGCATGTCTGGCAGACATATCAGTATGGATGACGGATCACCACCTCAAGCTGAACCTTGGCAAGACGGAGCTGCTCTTCCTCCCGGGGAAGGACTGCCTGTTCCATGATCTCGCCATCACGGTTGACAACTCTGTTGTGTCCTCCTCCCAGAGTGCAAAGAGCCTTGGCGTGACCCTGGACAACACCCTGTCGTTCTCCGCTAACATCAAGGCGGTGACCTGATCCTGTAGGTTCATGCTCTACAACATTCGGAGAGTACGACCCTGCCTTACACAGGAAGCGGCACAGGTCCTAATCGAGGCACTTGTCATCTCCCGTCTGGATTACTGCAACTCGCTGTTGGCTGGGCTCCCTGCCTGTGCCATTAAACCCCTACAACTCATCCAGAATGCCGCAGCCCGTCTGGTGTTCAACCTTCCCAAGTTCTCTCACGTCACCCCGCTCCTCCGCACACTCCACTGGCTTCCAGTTGAAGCTCGCATCTGCTACAAGACCATGGTGCTTGCCTACGGAGCTGTGAGGGGAACGGCACCTCCGTACCTTCAGGCTCTGATCAGTCCCTACACCCAAACGAGGGCATTGCGTTCATCCACCTCTGGCCTGCTGGCTCCCCTACCACTGCGGAAGCATAGTTCCCGCTCAGCCCAGTCAAAACTGTTAGCTGCTCTGGCACTCCAATGGTGGAACAAGCTCCCTCACGACGCCAGGACAGCGGAGTCACTCACCACCTTCCGGAGACATTTGAAACCCCACCTCTTTAAGGAATACCTGGGATAGGATAAAGTAATCCTTCTACCCCCCCCCCCCTTACCCCAACCCACCCTCCCCCCCAAAAAAACAAAAACATTGTAAAGTGGTTATCCCACTGGCTATAAGGTGAATGTACCTATTTGTAAGTCGCTCTGGATAAGAGCGTCTGCTAAATGACGTAAATGTAACACTTTTTTGGTTACTACATGATTCCATATGTGTTATTTCATAGTTTTGATGTCTTCACTATTATTCTACAATGTAGAACATAGTAAAAATAAAGAAAAACCCTTGAATGAGTAGGTGTTCTAAAACCTTTGACCGGTAGTGTACATGTTAATGTTTTTAAATGTATGTAAATTGTAAAGTATTTTGTCTGTAATGTCTTTGTCATTATATGTCGGACCCCAGTAAGACCAGCTGTCGCCATTGGCGTCAGCTAATGGGGATCCTAATAAATCAAATCAGTTTTAAAGTCAGTTTAATAATACTTTCCAGTGGATATTTTATCTCACATTTCAACCAGCTGAAGGACAACGCCACGGACAATCGGTAGAGAATTTTATTCAACATTTGTGACAGACAAGGGACATTTAGATTTGTGTATGTAAATGTGTGTGGTGTTGCCTACACAATTGAAGGCATCGCCACGTTTCATGAATAGAGTAACATCTGCTTCCGACCGGAAATGTGGAATGGAATGGTCCAATGGAACTGCGAGCCCAAGGTGAGAGGACGTGTCGTACCTCGGCTGGAGGCTGTGTTACAGCCAGGTGCAACTTTGCTAAACTGCGTACAGTAAGTGTATCTTTTGTATTTGAAATATTATTTCTCACTGGTATGAAAGTTCCAAAGGTTTCTAAAACCGTATCGCAAGTAAGGATTATTAACGTTTCTAAACGTTAAAACTGAGAGTCAGAATTGTAGTTCACATGGAGCCAGCTGTGGTCCATACCTTCAGCTGAGAACTCAAAAGGGTGGCTGGCTGTAAGCCCCCTTGGGTTCTCGAGAGCTAGGTTACCTGCTAGCCCTTGATTAGGACTTGCAGTTCCATTAAATTACACATAAGTGTCATTGGACAAAGGCGTTTTCTGTACGGGGGAGTTTTGTTAAGAGAGCCGACGCTTGGTCTGAAAATTAACACGCATCGCTTGCGGTACAGGTTTGGAAGCATAAGGACCTTATCTTTCATATCATAGAGAAATACTTAAATTGATACACACCTTTAAGGGTTCCCACAGACCGTATCTCCATGTTACAGCGCATGTTTACGGAAGACAGAGCGTCCACCTGTGCTAATTAGCTATCTAGCATCCTCCAAACACCAGTGTGTGATAAAGCCAGTTAAAACAGTGTAGAGTAAGTGTATTTTTGATGTGATATGAAAGTAAAGGGCTTTATGTTTCTAGAACCATATGGCAATTGAGAATCGATTCACGTTTAGATAGAGTATTTGGCTATTTTGTCTGCCAGAGCCAGTCTACCTCTGAAAATAACATAAGGTCCTTGGTCCTTAAGGAGTAACGGTAGGCTCCTTAAGAGTACATCTTGCTAGGTTACCTGCATGCATATTCCACAGTGTAGATTGCTCCTTGGCTTTGCTCCTCCCAGCTCTGCATATCTGTCTGGGAAAGATGATCAGAGAATAATATTATGAATAACGTTAATCCAAAAGTAACTACCGGTATACATTTCTTTTTTAGACGTGTTTTTGGACAGCCCAATATAGCTACTGTAAAGTAACAAAACTACATTTATTCTCCTTAGCAAGTTAATATGTAGCTACGCTGCTACTTTGGGATTCACGACACCACTTACTTTGTGTTGTACTAGCTCTGGAAGGGACCTTCTAACGTGCTCTTGCAGTCGATAAAGAGCCACCGATGGCTCGTTAGCCAACACGTACATGTTCTCCGTGAATTTGTCAGTCACTGCAGAGATAAACATACAATAATATAGCTAGGTTTACCAAATGTATGGTTATGACAAGTAGCTAACGTTAGCTGTTTAGCTAATGCAGCTACTAGCTAAGGTTAGCTAGCTGGTGATGGGTTTACTTTTATCAAACAATTGTACTGTAAAGTATTCGCTAATTACCTCTTTTAACTTTCAGTTGCATCTCCTGGTCCTCCATCTTATACACACTAAACGATATACAATTATATATTTGCAAGGGTTTAATTCGTGTAAAAGCGTTAGCAAAAATAAACAGGCAGCTTCCGTGTTATTGTCATGCGCACCACAAATCATGTTCGAAATGCAACACGAATCTGAAAAAAAGTTCCTATATATTTATTCTCTCGACATAGTTCGCGTTTACTGGTGGATTGAAAAATTATCGTAGATAAAATCAGTCAAACATAATTTAATACATTACAAATGTAAACATTCAAAAACACTTAATTGGATAAAGTTATTTATAAGCAATGTAATGAATGGATCGACAGTTCGGGCGGCTTACCTTTATCAATTGCATCATGGGATTTTGTAAATAAACTCACTTTCAGTTTTGATATCAGGAAGTTGGAGTGAAGAATAAAACATTGATGTTGCTATTTTATCCTATATTGTGAACTGGACATATAAACCATTGCTTGCGACATAAAGGTAACAATGAATCTGTTTATAATGTGCCATTGAGACTTTACTATTTTGCAGGAACTGATGTGGAATGGTTTACCATCATTTCAGCTTTGAAAAGTAAGAGACAGTGAGATAATCATAGACATTTGTTCCATATTTGTTCTCTTGACTTCTGTTGGCTAAAGCTAACCTATATAGTAATATATATCTGTACTTTGATTCAAGAGACCATGGATGGTACAGATGGTGATGAAATATCAGATCTTGCAGCCAGTCTACACATGTTCTCAGATGGCCTAGCAGTGGAATCCACTACATGTCTACCAGGGGAGTCCAGAGGAGATTCTGTGCTGGTTTTGCATGGTCTATAGGCTTTCTCATACATTAATCACACTTGGCCATTTGTCTGCAGTGAATGTGTCACACCATTTTCAGTTTGCATAAAGTCTCAAATGATTATAGGCATTGGGCTATGCAAATATTGAAAATCATATTTCATGTGATGAAATCTCTGTATTGCTCCTTGCTACCAGGTGTGATGGTGACTACAGAGAACATGGGTGTGGATGAGGAGGAGAGCATGTTGAAATACTCCACCACCCTCACGAATAGGCAGCGTGGGAATGAGGTCACAGTCAGACCAGCTACTTTAGACAGTAAGTATGGCTGTCTGAACTCAGAAAACACAATCCTCTTTGTTCATGGCAAAATACCTTAAACACTGCTGTGTATACACACGCATTCATAATCTATTAGGTAATGCACTGTTACAGGAATGACCCTAAAAGACCTCTGTAGTTTTATGTACACTGTTTATGTATATGCCTGTGTATTTTTATATAACTGAGGGAGATTAAGGTATATTATGCATTTAATTTGGTATATGGACAATTAAATGTACAAAACACTGACCCTTTGGTGTCTCATCAGTTCTGTCCATCCACCAGCTAGCTGCCCAGGGGGAGGTCTTACAGGTGGCAACACACCTGAGCAAAGGTGAGACATTTCCATATCCACTGACCAATGGTGCAAAGAGGAGAACTTGCCTGATTTGTGTAGCCTGGTGACACCAGCATGATTGCTATGACTTGTGGGCTGTGTCCTGTGTAATATTAAAACGTTGGTTGACCTTGCAGACAGTTCATTACTAAACTGCCAGGATGAACGGGGCTTCACTCCTCTCATGTGGGCAGCAGCGTTTGGAGAGAAAGCCATGGTGGATTTCCTCCTGGAAAATGTTAGTGACATTTCTAGACCCTTGTTCATTGAATTCAATGGTTAGTCATAAACAGAGTGGTGGTTGATTGTAACCTGTGTGGCTGCTATGACCTTGTGTGGTGTGTCTTAGGGGGCAGATCCTAGTACTATAGCATGGGAACGGGAGAGTGCCTTGACCCTGGCAAGCTCGGGAGGCTATGCAGTCATAGTGAAACGTCTTCTTGAACATGGAGTAGATATCAACGCTTATGACTGGGTAAGGGTGTAAATTAGGATTCTTGATTTCTTCAGAAATAACACACATCAGTCTTCAGTATGTTTTTGGGTGATTTTATTAATTGGATGTTTTATGTTTAAGAATGGTGGTACTCCTCTCCTTTACGCTGTTAGAGGGAACCATGTAAGGTGTGCCGAGGCCCTCTTAGGTACGTTGCCTCATACCCCTGCACACAGTTAACCTTCATTGTAATTAATTATCTCAAACTAAAGTACTGTAGTCATCTCAAAGTGGCACAAATCAATATGATGGTCTTGTGATTGTAATTCAGATAAAGGGGCAGACATGAACATTGAGGCAGATTCTGGGTATAGTCCAATGGCCTTAGCTGTTGCCCTCGGACACAAACAAGGTAAGCACCCTCTCTAATCTGTCACCTTAAAGTAAAAAAACTTCCCTGGCAAAAGTAAAGCATGGTTTTGTAAATCATGTTTTGTTTCAGTCCAAAAGGTGTTAGAGGACCATATTCTGAAACTCCTGAAGAAAAAAGCATGACACCAGCTAAGAGCTCCAGGATGTGGTTAGAGAGGACGTTGTCATGCACAGTGCTGACCAGAGGATCACCTGCTGGCATCCGTGGTGAGGTGGTTGACCAAAAGACTACATTTACATTTGAGTCATTTAGCAGACGCTCTTATCCAGAGCAACTTACAGTTAGTGAGTGCATACATTTTCATACTGGCACCCCGTAAAGCCACAAAAGGAGATTGGTAGCGATGACACTTGGAACGGAAGCTCCAACGTTAAGGGACACTGTGGTTCCCATCTTGTACATTTATTCAACATGTTTTGTATATTAAGGAAATGTTTATATTTCATTTTATTAATTTTTTTCAACAAACTGTTTAAATATCTAATAATTTTTTTTGGGGGGGGGTATAGCACCAATGGATAGTAAACAAAAATATTCAAAAACAAAATTCATACACATTTTACGATGTTCATTTGGAATGGGAAATCAAATGCAAGGCACAAGCATTTGAATATGCAGGTGGTTGCGTGACCTTAAAGCCTGGAAAGCTGCAATAAAATCCGGATTCTGTGTCTGAGGCAAGTCCTCCCTTTTCCCTTGTACCTGCGCAAGCAGGTAACCAACTAAAAATGTCCTCACCAAAAATTGTCAGATATCGTTCCCATTCCAAACAATTAATGTGGGGTGGTACAGTCTTCCAGCAGTCATATTCTTCAATGGCACTATACCCTCTCTTTCCCTATAAGTCTCTCCCTCTCTCTAACGCAGAAACAGAAACATCACAAAGCTCTTTCCCCCAGGATGTCCAAGGAGTAAACAATTATTCGCCCAAAGAAGTCGGCACTGTTCTCAAACACAATTTTTAGCCTGTGCACCGTGGGGGCCTCCTGAATGGGAAAGCTGTGGGTGTGGAGTTAAGAACCAGATAAGCTGAGGATTAATGAAACAGAACTGCACAGAACAATATTAATTGAAAGCTGCTATGTAGCTACTATGCATTAAAATCAAAATTTCTGTATTACAGTATTCAGTTCCAGGCATAACTTTTCTGTAATACTACAACTAATTTAAGCAACTAAGACTAGTGTCCTGTCCAGGCGGTGTAGTTCTACATCAAGCTGCCTCACGTTTGATGTACAAAGCCATTCTGGCTCGAACAAGGATTACTACAACTAATTTGAACTGGTATGATTTTAGAGACATTTAATAATACATTGAAGGATATTTGTAGTGAGCTGCTGTCTTCTGGGTAAAAATCTATGATTTTAGCCAAATCTCCATCTTTTGGGCATCCTGAGGGGAACACAAGTGGAAGCCTTTTCAGGATCGTTGACATTGACAGTCTGTCTCTTTTTAAACATATCACGTGTTATAGCATAGGATGACAATGAATCATTGAAAACCACAACTTAATAATAAATAATTTGGTGAGTTCTTACATTTGTCCTATTTCACATGTGTGTATTATACTTCATGGTGGTACACTGACCAAAGGAGTTGTGTTTGTGTGTGTGTATATATTACCTTCCAATTTGCACGTTTTCCCTGAAAAGCCACCTTGGAACTGCACCTTTAATTCTGACACTCTGACAGGCTGTGGGAATTCCAGAGTAACCCACTGAGAATCGCCCTGTAAAACGTTAACATAGGTGCTTATGCAAATAAGTAATTCCATTGATCATCCTTGAGATGTTTCTACAACTTGATTGGAATCCACCTGTGGTAAATTCAATTGATTGGACATGATTTGGAAAGGCACCTGTTAAATCCACTTCAAATCTGTGTAGATGAAGGGGAGGAGACAGGTTAAATAATGTCTTGACACAATTGAGACATGGATTGTGTATGTGTGCCATTCAGAGACAAAAGATTTAAGTGCCTTTGAGCGGGGTATGGTAGTAGGTGCCAGGCGCACCGGTTTGTGTCCAGAACTACAACGCTGCTGGGTTTTTCACGCTCAACAGTTTCCTGTGTGTATCAAGAATGGTCCACCACCCAAAGGATATCCAGCCAACCTGACAACTGTGGGAAGCATTGGAGTAAATATGGGCCAGCATCCGTGTAATGCTTTCGACACCTTGTCCATTCCCCGACGAATTGAGGCTGTTCTGAGGGCAAAAGTGCAACTCAATATTAGGAAGGTGTTCTTAATGTTTTATACACTCAGTATAGTTAGTGCATTCATCTTAAGATAGCTAGGTGGGACAACCACATATCACAGTCATAGTAAGTACATTTTCCCTCAAAGTTCTATCAACAAAGTCAAATATAGTGAGAGGGAAAAATGTCAAGTGTGAGTGTTAGTTGTTATTTCGCCTACTCCATTGTTATTGTGAAGCAAAACATTGTCATTAAAAATTCCATAAGCAGTTGGCAAGAGAGCAGAAACAGACTGGCACTCAGTCTAATAATTGGGACCCACGGGGTCATCATTGTTGTTGCCGCACATGCACCAATACTGTCCCTCTTGAGGGCATGCGCGCTTATCATGTAATTGTAGTTACCTGGTCAGAGTTCCAGCACGCTTCTTCATTCGAGTCAAACATGTACTTCTTCCCGAATTGCTTAACATCTCTGTTCAGAACAGAGCTTACTCTGTAAAATACAAAAAAACAGACACATTGTGGCAATTTTACAGTCATTACCTCATCCTGCTGCAGAAGGACTAGCTATGTATCTATTCCAATTATTTATATATACACTAGCTGACTGATAGAGAGCGCTGTTTTGAAGCCACCGTGCCTCCATCTTGGCACTCCCCCACCATTGTAAAAAATATTTTGGAAGCTATAGAAATGCATTTATTACATTTACATTTACATTTGAGTCATTTAGCAGACGCTCTTAACCAGAGCGACTTACAGGAGCAATTAGGGTTAAGTGCCTTGCTCAAGGGCACATTAACGTCATTTAGCAGACGCTCTTAGCCAGAGCGACTCACAAATTGGTGCGTTCACCCTATAGCCAGTGGGATAACCACTTTACAATTTGGGGGGGGGGGGGGGGGGGGGGTTAGAAGGAATACTTTATCCTATCCCAGGTATTCCTTAAAGAGGTGGGGTTTCAAATGTCTCCGGAAGGTGGTGAGTGACTCCGCTGTCCTGGCGTCGTGAGGGAGCTTGTTCCACCATTGGGGTGCCAGAGCAGCGAACAGTTTTGACTGGGCTGAGCGGGAGCTATGCTTCCGCAGAGGAAGGGGAGCCAGCAGGCCAGAGGTGGATGAACGCAATGTCCTCGTTTGGGTGTAGGGACTGATCAGAGCCTGAAGGTACAGAGGTGCCGTTCCCCTCACTGCTCCATAGGCAAGCACCATGGTCTTGTAGCGGATGCGAGCTTCAACTGGAAGCCAGTGGAGTGTGCGGAGGAGGGGGGTGACGTGAGAGAACTTGGGAAGGTTGAACACCAGACGGGCTGCGGCATTCTGGATGAGTTGTAGGGGTTTAATGGCACAGGCAGGGAGCCCAGCCAACAGCGAGTTGCAGTAGTCCAGACGGGAGATGACAAGTGCCTGGACCAGGACCTGCGCCGCTTCCTGTGTAAGGCAGGGTCGCACTCTCCGTATGTTGTAGAGCATGAACCTGCAGGAGCGGGTCACCGCCTTGATGTTGGCGGAGAACGACAGGGTGTTGTCCAGGGTCACGCCTAGGCTCTTCGCACTCTGGGAGGAGGACACAGCGGAGTTGTCAACCGTGATGGCGAGATCATGGAACGGGCAGTCCTTCCCCGGGAGGAAGAGCAGCTCCGTCTTGCCAGGGTTCAGCTTGAGGTGGTGATCCGTCATCCATACTGATATGTCTGGGAAGGAACTTATTATTCATGTCGACATCCGTTTTTGCCACATTTATTATATTATATACACCTTATTGTATACTTTTGAATTATATTATGTGAGCTAAACATGTTTTTTAATAAAAATATTTTAAAAAAACTTTTCCTTAAAGCACAATTTTCAAATCAACGTTTTTTGGTCGTGTACATAGTTTAGCAGATGTTATTGCGGATGCAGCGAAATTCTTAAACTAGAAACAGGGGCTGCAGTCCAAACACATTAATTTTACCCCCTCAGCCCTCGCGCTAGCCACTTTTCCCTCGTCGAAACCGGATGCAGTTTGATTGCAATCTTAAATGGATGTCCAATTCACAAACATTTACATTTTAGTCATTTAGCAGACGCTCTTATCCAGAGCGACATACAGTTAGTGAGTGCATACATTATTTGTTTACTAAAAAAAAATATATATATATATATATATATATACATACTAGGCAAGTCAGTTAAGAACAAATTCTTATTTACAATGACGGCCTACACCGGCCAAACCCGGACGACGCTGGGCCAATTGTGCGCCAACCTATGGGACTCCCAATCACGGCCGGTTGTGATACAGCCTGGAATCGAACCAGGGGGTCTGTAGTGCTTTAGACCGCTGCGCCACTCGGGAGCCCACAAACGTTACCCCCTCGGCCCTCGATTTAGCTTGAGGGAGCGAGTGAAGAGCTGTGTTCGAATACACATACTGTATACTACATACTTAATGAATATATACTACATACAATATATACTATTAGTTCATTTTAGTATACTGTAAACGAATGGTATCATTTCAGTTGAGCGTATTAGCGCTTTCCTTGTCTACCGGAAGTTGATGCTGTTGCTATGCAATCTCTTGCTAGCTTGTTAGCATAACAAATGACTAGCTTGACATTTTACGATTTCGGGTGTGTTCGTAAATTTAATCTGGAGTGCCAGAGTGCGCGTTGGGCGTTCGTAAATCCAGAACGTTGTCAGATTGTCCGTTTGTAAATTCAGAGCGTTTCGCTCTCGGAGTGTTCAGAGCGCACACTGGACGCTCTGGCCGAGGAGTAGGGATGATCTGAGCGTTCTGACCTTACAACAGCAGTCAAGCACCCAAGCTAACCTTTGCTAGCTACTTCCAGACACAAATGAGAGAACACCTCACTCTGACCATTTTACTCGCCCTAGCTGAGCTGGTTAGACTGTTATATATAGCGTTGGTGACTGTAACTGTGCTGCTGGCAACAATTTAATTCCGCTTTTTTTGCCGACGTTTACTGGCACCAGCCATATTCAACGGGTGTTGAGCGTTCGTAAATTCCTCAGTTATTCTGCGCCCTGGCACACTCAGATGAGAGTGCTCTGAAATCGTAGTAGATAGCCAGAATGAACAATGTCCATTGAGAATGCACAACGACTATACCACTTAGCTAAGAATGATGTGAATAATCAACTCAATAAACATTTGGTAGTTAGATAGCACATAGTTAATATTCTGCCTGGCAAGTTCGATGTATTAGTAGCCAACTAACGTTAGGTAACTAGCTAACATACCGTTACATACTACTGTAATGCAGTAGTTACGCCTCTAGCACTGAGATGCAGTGCCTTAGACCGCTGCGCCACTCGGGAGCCCGAGTAAGTAAATTTGTCCTTGAAACATTTAATCTAAATACTGTATAATTCCTATGGACGACTGCTCCTACTGGGGAGTGCCAATACGGCCGATCGGTGGCTTCAAAGCCACTCAATGGCCAATACATAGCATCAACAATCCAGGGTTTGTATACATCATTGGTCTGTTCTGGGATGTTCAAGGGAGATTTCAGCGTTGCATGCCAGACGCCTTTTTTTGTTGATGCTACAATAGACGTTTATTTTTCACTGTTAATCAAATGTGGTGACATCTATAAGTCAAAACATCTCACTCGCACCTACATCTGTTAAAATGTCTAACTATAACACGTTTTCTTACCTGCTCTGTGTTTCGCTGCAAATCAATGAGGAAGCCATGTCTGATTTCCTAAAATGAGGGCAAGTTGCCGTATTACAACAGAGAAGAAGCACTTCGATGTACGACAGTACTGGCAAAGGACTTCAACACTAGATGGCAATCGTGTTCCTTGGCTCTTTTCTTATTCCATCCATGAAATGTATGTTGCAGTTTTGCCAAAGATTAGGTTTATCTGGGGTTTTGCTCTTGCATGCAGTGCAGAAGATGGACGAGGTCGGCGCTAAAGTACATCCTCCTTATTAGAGAAAGCTGAAGAAAAAAATGATTCAAAATCCTAGGTTGTTACACTAGTATTTCAGTTTGCCACTACATCTATTGATCCCTTTCAGGCCAAGGTTAAAACTCAGAATGTGACCATGCTTTATAGGCTATATGCAATTGAAGAGGTAACTGTTTAAAATAGCATTAAAAAAAAAATAGTGTGTTCTTCAGACCATTTCATCAATACATTGGTGCCAATCAGAGAGAAATTGAGGTAATGGATGAAGGTCATCTAAATTAAAATTGATCAAAGGGGGGTTGGAGCTGAAGCAACCAACCACAAATAAGGTGCATTGATCAACAACATTGCAATCTTCAAGCATCCATTTTAATAGATAACACAGTTCCATCATATTATGAAAGCTTTAGATGTGGGACAAGCTGTGCTATGGCAGACCTAAGGTTTAGATATGCAACATTTCACGTTTTCTATTCAGTGGAGATGTCTTTAAAGCCATTTCTAATAATTAAATACACCCCTGGGAGGCCAGCTTTGTAACTTATAAAGCTAAATGAAGTAGATTGAGGGCTTGCTATATCCTTTACATAGTCTAGGTCTCTTGGTTAATATCACCTGGAAGGAGAAGAGGTGATAGAGGAGGTTGTGTTTTCATAGGAGCTCATTATCATCCCAGATTAAGCTCCTGCTGAGATTTTGGCATGGTGCTCTGCAGATAATCAATAAGTCTGAATTACAAAACCTGATGGAGTCAAGCCTGTGTGACAATTGCCATCGGTGGGGGGTGAGGTTATAGGGGTTGGACTAGCAAAACTGCAGGGACTTTCCTCCTCACACCTTCACCTATACTGCACCACAGTGATTCAACAACACAGTGAGTGGTCAGAGTTATGATTTGGCCAGATTGGGGTTGGGTGATTGATAATATGCCAGTCTGGCTCAAGCCATCTTCCTGGGGCTGTGTAAAAGAGGGAGAGAGAACAAGATAGAGAATGAGAGATCTAAGTCTATATTAAATGCTATTCCCTGCAACCTGTGTATTGGACCAAACAAACAGTTGTTGGGGGATAGAGAGAGAGGTTGAGAGTGATGGAGAATAGAGAGAGTGGGTGAGAGAGATGGTCTTGTAGATAGAGAGAGAGAGAGTATGGGTCTGTTTAGCTGTCACTGGGGAAGTAAATAAGCCTGGCCTTACAGGGCGGTTTGATGTTTGATCTATCCCAGCCAGGGTTTACGAGCTGAGGGCACTTGTGCAGATTGTCCTGATGAGGAGGGTCATTAATCCTAGCTGCTTGCTGAGGGACAGAGCACCCTGCCTGGCAGCAGGAAGCAGATTTAGGTCTGCAGTGCCTGGGTAAATGACAAACTAACTCACTAGCTGACAGGTTGAATGAACTAACCCTGTTTGCAGTTCTGCTAGTTAAAAGTCGGCCAGGAGGGGAGACCTGAATAGGTAACGCACCTTCTCCCATTTATTTGGGAGAACGTTTACCTATTAATTTTAAGTTTGGCAGTTGTGATAGCTTTTAGTTAATGATATAAACTAAAACACCATTTCTGAGAGG